GGCGGTGCCTGCGCGCTGTAGCGCTCGCAGCTCCTACAGACATAACGGTTCCCTCGAGTTCACAAGTTTTAGTTTTTACCTCAGGCACGTCCCAGGGAAGCCGTCGGTCATCGGCCTGGTTTTGCAGAGCTCATTGCCAGCTCTTGTCGCGCTGGCCTCCCAAGCACCTCCATTAGATCACTTTAGTAGGCAGAAACTGCACGCCCACTCACTTATGCCATGAGACACATTTACCTGTGCACACATCTCCTTCACGGTTCCCTGCCTCTATCTAATCCACGTAACAAAGCAACAGGATCTGCTGGCAACCATGAAAAGACAGAAGCCCTGTGGCCACAGCCATCCTGCATGGACACTGCTGCTGTGCCCAAGAGCCCCACAGGGGCCTGCGTGGAGTGTGTCACCAGAGAGGTTCTGCTCTGGGTTCCCTCGCCTTGAATATTACCTTGAACATCATTAGCTAAAGATAACAGAAAACAAAAGCCAACTCTTGTTAGTTTTCTTGCCTCCTCAGAACTGGTCATTCATCAGAAGGGATGTGTGGCTGATCCGGGCAGACACACCTTGTCATCAAGCTGAATTGTACTGCCTGGTCAAGTGGCTGTGCAGACACACACACTTGTTTGTGTTTAGCCACATTTCTGAAATAGCCACAAAATTATTTTTTAAGTTTTACCTGATAGGTGAGACAAAAGGTTTTCTCAGACCACATTTAGTATGTCTTCTATAGGTTTACACCAACCAACATCTCAAACTTAAAACTTGACACATTTATTTACTGTTCTGAATAGTTCAAGTTAATCCTTTTATTTTTAAGGGCCATTTATTAAATGCAGATAACATGACAAATATAAGCTCCTCATATTTGTAAAACTGTCTCCTAAGTCCATATCTATAGTTTAGCTTCATATTCCCTAAACACAATTAGAATAAGGCATACAAAGGGCTTCCAGCAACATCTTGTGTCTTGTTGCACCTGAGACATCATTATGCCCATCATCTTATAAGGCTTTTTTTCCTATGATCAGAAAAGCAAACTTAAGCTAATAGTAAAGTCTCGGAGAATACTCTAGACATCTGAAACAATGAGAATTTACTTTAACAACCTCTTTCTTTGTACAGAGCTGAGCAGAAACATTTTAATTTACCGCAGATAAAAAAAAATATCTAATTTTTATATGAATTGTGTGCATTCAGTCTGGTCCAAAATATTTGTATGGCACATAAAAACTTACATTTAACTCTTACCTTTATTTCAGCAAAAGTAAATTTAACTCCCCCTTTGATCAGAAAAATCTGAGATAATCAATGCAAAAGCCATTTCTGCAATTACTCACTTCGTCCTTCACTAACGTATATGAACAAACTGTGTCTTGGGCTGTTCATACCAGAACAGCAACGAGGAATATTTTCTAAGTATTCCTACACTGCTATTTCAGCTAGATTCATATTATTGGAAATCTCTCCATGGAGTGGAGGATAAACCCCCTCAGAATGAAGGTTCAGCTTTGGTATGCTGTTTGAGCAACTGGACATTCCCATATACACACAAAATTTAGGCAGAGGACAACAGAAATGGAGGAACTGAGGTGTGGAAGAGCTGTTAACCATTCTGCTCACAGGCAAAAGAGAAAAGAACAGAGAATGAGCAGCTTTCTCTAACATGGGGGTCCTGTTGTGACCCTCCATAACATCCTTCCACACCCCCAGCAGCACAGTGGAGAAGAGCGGTGCCACAAGATACCGACTGCTGCTCATTTTCAAGGAAGCCATGGTACATTTCCTCAGCTGTAATCCATCCTTCTTCCCACACTTCAGAGAAAGGAAGTTTTATTAAATAGCATTGTTAGGTACAACAGACAAATCCAGGAGAAAGGTCTGTACTTGCATTCAGATTTTTAAAACACAAAACAGTGATTGGCAAGTACGAGTATCAGTATACAAGAAATCAAGTCACTCAAACCCCCTTCACTGTGAAAAGGGTTGAGACTGGGCAGGTTCACACGATGATGATAATGGGAGAAGGATCAAAAGCAATGTTCAAGGCATACACAAACTGAAGAAACAGGTGCTCTCAAGTCTATATTTTTGTTTTCCTCCCTTTAACAGTCTATACTATGATATGGAGACAAAAGCCAGTGTGTGTGTGGGTAAGGTCTTCACCCAGTACTTACTCTAAATTAAGTTCCACAGCTTTGTTTTTGTAAAAAAAAGTAATCTATAGTTTAATACCTGCTTCTGGATTCTCAGATCTGTGATGCTGTTAACATTGCACTTAATTGTCATTATCCATTTTTAAAAAGAAATTAGAAAGCAGCTCTGAACTTTGCTTCTGAGACGGAAGCACTGTCTCTGAACCAACAATGATTCCTGTCACTCTTGCTTTGCATCTTTCAAGGCCTGAAGTCTTTCTAAAAGGGGTGGATGGGAGTAATGCCACATTGAAAATATCCAGTCAGAAACAGGGAATCCTAAATTATCTTTGTTCAGCTTGATCAAAGCAGAATATAGGTCTTTGGCCTTCCCCAGTTCCTTGGCAAATGCATCTGCTTGAAACTCAAATCGTCGGCTTAAAACAGTCAAACAAAATGAGAGAACCTGTGGAGAGATACATTAACCATTATTTAAAAATTCAGCTGTTTGCAAGTTCCTCACAGCATCAGTAACTAATACTGTATCTTCCTCCCCACATCCCACACATCAGAATGATCTCCCTGGAGCTTATCCAGGGCACACCTGAAACTGGGAGTCTGACCCAACATGGAGCACTAAGCCTACTTATTAAAATGAGATACCAGATAGAACCTCTAGAAAATTCACACTTCACTCCCACAGTCAAAAAATCATTATTTAAATAGGGTGATACTCCAGCATCTGTCTTGAAAACAATTTACCTCATTGTAAGGTGAAAAAATGAACTGGAAAATAATCATCAAGCCTATCAGGGTAGGCTGGGTGTCATAGAAACCAAATGCAGCAAAGAGTTCTTTTCGACCAATTAACACAGCAAACAAGAAGAAGCAGAGGAAGGAATTCATCTAGAGAAAGGAAACAACATTCTTGATTAAGTTTTTAATTAAGTCTAAAACATAGTCTATTCATAATAAAGATTTGCATAGAAACACCACTGAAAAAATCGCAAATCGATTACTTTATAACTAATATACTGAGTTGTGGAAATTTATTGAAGGACTGTTTGTTTCAAGTTAAAAGTATAAGTGGTCAAGATTTGTTTGTACCATTGCAGCCACTGAATAGGATATAAGCTGATGTTTAACTATAACAATGAAGGAAACCAGCCAACACCGGCTAAGAAGGAGGTTATGTAAAAGCAACCATTCTGCACATGTGTTATTTACTAAGGTCAGTAAGAGGACAGCATGAGGAAGAGGATGAAGAGATCACCCGACGAAGCAATTGACCACCCAGGGCAATTAATACCACAACAAGGACAGCAGGTGGCAGCAGAAACTACGGAATAATGAGCCAAAAAGGAGGAATTACGGAATAATAAACCAAAAAGAGATGAACTTATGCAAATCGTTCTTAGGAAAGGGGTGTATTTGTTTTTAGAAACTAAAATGCATATGTATGAGTTAAAAGAATAAATGTCTAGAGCTTTGTAACCAAGGCAGGAGTCCTTTCATAGGACGACCCCAGTGCTGTAATAAAGAATACCTGCTTAACTATCTTATCATTGTTTTGTTTTAGGATTGCCCAGAATCAATATGGAGAGGAACAAACAGATGGCCTTGACCTGCTTTCTGTAAATGCATGTAGTAAAAAACCACTTATTTTCTGTCAGTGAGCTAAAAAAAGTCTAAGTAGCAGAGGAAAGTGAAAAGGCAAGAAGACAAGGTAAGTGAGCAGGGAGTACAGGGTAGAATCCATCTCCTTGGAATTAAGCATAGGTTCCAAAAAGTTTTAACCCACACAAAATGTGTCTGTGCTGTGTCATACTGCTATTTCTGGCAACAATCGACACTTTCATCTAAGCCATGGCCAGCTGTGTACAAGCACTGTGCTTGCCTGGCTTTTCAAGAGGCAAGAGGCAGGACTATGCCTCACCAAGTTTTGCAGACAAGGTGATGAGTACCATTTCAATCCATTCAAGTGGCTGTTTGGTCTTTTTAGAGCAATGTGGAAGGTGCCAGAAAACTGCTTGTTATTGAAACACACAGGACAGAAAAAAGGGATGGCTGTGACAGCAAACAATCAACACAAGAAGCAGAAGACATTGCAGAAGAATTTTTGACAATTCCTGGAAACGAAGATAAAATCTACATTTTACAGCAAAATAATAGTATCTAGAAAGTGGATCTAAAGACAAAAGTTACATGAGTTAGCAGAGTGGCAAAAGCATCATAATAGTTGCTAGTTAGTAGGGATCAAGGCTGATGTCAGAAGTTGGAAGGTAGAGAAGGACCTCACTGAAGTGTTCAGTTGCATGGATAAGAAAAAGCCAGCGTGGAAACAGAAATGTAGAGATTTTCATCAACAGAAGATTGATAGTGATGTTTACAGCCTGAAAAGCTTGTGAATAGCCTTAGAAAAAGAACAAAACAGTGTTGCTGGAATGGTGCACACATCTCAAGAAAGACAGGATGGAGTTAAAGGAGGTGCATAGGAGGGCAGCTATGAGAAGCAACTAAAGAAGCTGGAAACTTGGAAAAGAGAAGGGTGAGTGACCCCTGGAACAAGGCAGATCTACACCAAAGCACGCAGTAGACTGGCGATAGTGATATAACAGAAGACACATACCTGTGCCTTGCAAATAAAAAAATCTGAAGCAGGAGGTTTGGGTGAGGAATTCCCTTGTATTGTGCAATGCCCAGAGGCCTATGCACAAGTAAACAGACCATCAGGCTCCTTTTCTTCAAAGGCAAGACTGGGCAATCTCTAGAAATTGCTTCAGTGTTCCCCCCCAATTTGGGCATGCACCAAGAATGACACAATGAATTTATTTACCAATAATCGATGCACAAGGTATGAGAATGCAATATAAATAAGTAAGAATGCCCTCCTGTGTCAGATTTCGTAATCCTCAATCATGTTCCTTGTCAGCCCTCAAGAAACAAGACACAGAAACTCTCAGACACAGCCCTCTCAGAGAAAATGACAAACACCTAAAAGAATGGGGGCTGGGAGACAGAATACATCCAATCTCACCCCTGGCCCAAGGATGGAAATAGACCTTCAGAGCCTATGCAGAGCATAAGTACATTGTGTGAATGCATGCTTACAAATCTGCAAGCAGGCATTTGGAAACAGCAATAATTCCAGAATGCTTTAGGAAAACCACCAGTTTATTATAACTTACCTGGCTGATGATAATATTTTTGATAGTGTGACCTAGTTTCCAGTGACCCAATTCATGACCAAGTACAGCCAGAACTTCTTCGTTTTTACATCCTTGTTTCTTATTCTGAATAACAGAATAATACAAATAACAAAGCAGAAGTAATAACAGGTATTGCTGAGCAGTACTTACAATGGCTCTGCTAAAGGGTGGTAACTGCTGGCTCCACTGCTGGGCACAGCCCTGAGTGCATTGTTAACCTGCTTATATTGCTTGGACGGGCATGAAGGCAGAGAAAACCCTGGGTGGGATGATGGGGTAAAAGTCACACCGTAAGCCAAGATGCCCCAACTCAATTTTAGCCCCCACCCTCTTAATCTTTGTGTATTGTACCCTTATAGATAAGTGTGAAATGACATTGTCACTTGATCTCAACTTCTAGTGTATAAATATTCTCTCTTCTGTCTCTGTAGATGTGCTAGTTTTTTGGCATTAGCCTGGTAGCACTGATCCTGTGCAATAATAAACCTGATACCTCATCTCTGTGTGCTGTATTGGCTTACTGCACGCCAGGCTCTGAACTCCATTTGTGAGACAACAGTATGACTGAACACAACTGAATATATTTCTTACTTATTAGTTTGTTTTTTTCCTAGGTCACTAAAGCATCCCTACATCAGGCCACTTCCTTCTACCAGCAGATACACATATAAAATTTCTTACTGACCCTTTCTCAAGAAGATACTTAGAAAAAAAAATAAACTTTTAAGTTCAACAAGATTTCTACCATGAGGAGGCGTTCTCTTATTTATATGTATGCTGATCTGCCTATGCAAACCTAGGGGAATGCTAGAAGATTTGCCTTCCAAATGCTCTCCTACCATCCCTTGACCTCATCCTGTTTTTTTACTCAAGAAGAGGCACTGCAAGCAGGCATTTGGAGCCACAGACGTTCAGCAGAGAACTGAGAGCAAAGTCCTCTCCCTCCTGCCTTCAACACTCAACATGTTGCCTCCCTCCCAAGCCACTACTGTTCCTGTAAAAATGAGTAAGAACATCTCCGGCCTCTGCAACAAATGCTATAACATGCCTGAAAGTTGTCATTAGGAAAGGTGGACAACTGTACCTCCAAAGGTACATTAGCAAGTCAGAAGCAAGAGTGTGGACTTGGGTACTGAGAACACAGCTGAAGAACCTGTTGAAATGGAACAAAGGATTCTCATTATGAGTAGAGCAGGCAAGCTCAAAATCCCCTCCTCTCATCATCCACTTGTACAGGATGCCATACCAAACCATGGATGAAGAGAATTCCACCACCAATGTGGTTATAAGAAGCAGATGCTGAACAGCAATCTATACATTGGCCTAACTGCATGAGGCAATTCTGTTTTCTCAGAATTACTCCTTCGGGGCCTTCAGAAAGTATTCCACCAGTTCTAACCATCCTTACGCTCTCCTGAGGCCACAAAAGCTGTTACAGCAGACTCCTGATGTGCAGCTGCAAATCAATGGAGAGGACAATGAAAGGCCACATCCTGTTCTTGACCAGGGCAGGGAAGGATGCACATGTGGGATCTGTGCGTATGTGCACGTGTGCGTGCCTCTTGCACCAAAATTCTTGCGTGTAGTAAAAGGCAAACAGATCATACACTAACAGTCAAAAGCATTTCCTTCAAAGGGAAGCTTTGGTGTGGCAGTCCCAAGAGAAGGAACCCTGAACAGGTACTTTATTCAAACAATTACAAGGAAGGCCTGGTTTTACATGCAGGGAACCAATGTCTCTCTGAAGCCCCTGTGTATTTCTGCAGTCTCTTTGGTGCTATCTGCACCACTCTCACAGCCCCAGAAATTCCATTTAGAAGCTGGGGGATACTTTGGTACTGAGAGCATTAGGTTTTGGGTTTTTGCATCTCAATCAGGACCCTTAAAATACATTCAGAAAACACAAAGGAATTATGAAAACCAAAGATGAACTCACTTTGGTTTTAGACTTTGTCTCTTCATTCTCACCATCTTCTTCTGCTGGCTCTTTGTTCAATGCAGAATAATCTTCCAAGAGGGTGTCGAAGAGTACTATCCGCTTATTTTTGAAAAAGCCGTAGAAATAAGCATTGCTATGAGAAGAACGCTTAGAACCTGATGGGGAAAATTTACATTAAAGACCATGATCTGAATAATCCCATGTACTGAATACTATGCAGTATTACATAGAAGAGATTCTTCCAAATGAATTCTCAAAGTCCTCAAATGAACAGTAGACAGACTCAAGCAAACGAGTTTGCAGGTTGAAGCATATTCTAAAATAAGCTAATTAGCGATGATCTCCTTTACTGACTCCAATACAGAAGTATTTTTTTTCATCTGTAGCATGTAATTACTAAAATCACTAAAAACCTAACAGCAGTCATAGAAAGGTCTAATATCCACAAAAAAGCAACTTCTGTCGCAATTTCAGGTTCAGAGTGGAAAGAGCATCCTGCATAGAACATGTGTTGCCCTCCTGGCAAAGGACCTGTGACGAACAGACTTGGAATTCTTCAAACGTGCCAACAAAGATGATTTGAAACAGCAAAGGATGAAGATATTAGAAACAGATGAGAAGATGAAGAGATGAACTACAGATATCAGGTAGTTCCTCAAATCTATTTTTCTTAATAGGCATTTTTTTACAGCTACTTTTATCTATATAAGGTGAACCATGGACTGTTTCTACTATCAATATACTTGGGGCCAAGCAACTCATCTCTTTCCATGGAACATGGACTGTACCAGTTGATTTACAAGTTGTCTAGATCAAAGCAGCTGCTAAAACTTTGCCTATTTTTGCCTATGGTCAGGAGCTATTCCAACATCAGGACTGACAGAGGTCTATGAGAGAAGAGGTGAATTGCTCTGCTTTTGCAACAAAAGGTAAGATAAGGCATTTGCCTTCAACTCTCACTGTAAATATACAAGCTGCATAAACTCCTTAGGGCACAAAATGTCCATTGTTCCATTGGTCATGGTAACCTTCTGCACCAAATAAAGAGAGATCAACAGAGGAAGAGGCTGGTCAGAGTACGAACCCTCAGCATATGGTCCCTTCTCAGTAAAGAAATCTGAATAGCCACAGGATAGCAGTGTTCCCTTTCATCTGTGTATCATAAAAAACTTCATCCTTCACTAAGTGTTGGTAGAGAAGGAACCTTTGTAATCTGCCTGTTAGAGAATGAACCCTGAAATTAAAGGACATGGTTGCAAATGTCACTAAGAAGTCAGTTCTGCAGTGGGAAAAGCAAAGACAGTGCAGAAAAACTGGCAAAACTGACAAAATTATGTTCACACATCCAGTCCCCCATGTCAGCAGCAAATGGTGCTGGCTCAGCACTCCTAAGGATACGAGGAAAGAAAATGGGGTTTGGCAGCCTCCCTCCACTGCAGATCACTGCCACTAACTACGGTCACGCTGACGAAGCCAATGCAGCAGCACACTGCAGAGGTGCCAGAGCACCAACAGCTGGCTTCATAGGACTTTCACCATGGCTAAAAGCTGGATATAGCCAGCAATGCATAGGGGAGAAACTTACCTATCTGGCAAGCCTCTGTACTGACTCTCAAACTTGGAAAACTTCAAATTCACCAGGAAAGAGAGGAGTTTCTTGGACCCCAAGTAATAAAGTAAACCCCAATAGCAGTAGCTCCTGGCTGTGCTGAGGAAGAGCACTGGCTGGATTCCAGCCCGAAGTTTGGAAAGCCACAGCTTCCAGGCTAGATAAAGCATCCCCCTCTCTTACAGCAAAAATCTACCATTTCAGCTCTTTATGCCGTCTCATACTGCTTTCACCAAGGCGATAAAAACACCTCTGAACCTCGCAGGTGGGGCGCAAAACCAAAACAAAATTTGAGAAAGTCCCTGAAATAGAGTTCAGAAGCGAGTAAAACGAGTAAGAGTGGAAATGTCAAAGTGCACTACGAATACACAGATACCTTCTCATTAGAAGGTATGAGTCCATCCAGCCATACCATAAGAAACTGTCCATGTGAACACTCTACAAAGGAATAGGTGTTTTTAACTTGCATAACTTTTTATACTGTTTCACCAAGGACTTTGAGACAATTGATGCTAAACTGAGACGAGAAAAGATTAAGAAAAACCCACCTCTTTCC